TCATCGGTTGGATAGTGGCGAACAAAGTTCTCCTTCTCACTCTGAACGGAGTAGACGTCGCTGCGGTACCCCAGCTTTCGAACTCTGGATCGCTTTTCAAATTCTCTCTCACTACAACATGCCAAAAGGCAGCACTCGGAGTCATCAATTGGACAATTCTTGTGATGCATGTAACTTTTTGATATTTTTCCTACAGATATGAGCAGCGACGTATAAACAATTATCTCTAGAATGCGTCCTACTATCTGAAAAAGCGCCCATTTGTAGTTCAGCGTTTCCGGCCGACTGAGGAGCTCCTTAGGATTTATTAGGATATAAATGTACAAAGAAACCATGGAGAGCTGAGCCAAAACCACCAATAAGCAACAACCTGAGATTTGATGGCAGCCCCCGGCGACGACTGAATAGTTCCAGGAACATTTAGAATCTCCGTTGCTTTTAATGTAGCTTTTGCGCTTGGAGCGGCGGAGTTTCTCACAGCCCAACAACGAAACGTAAGCAATAAATATGACAGCGTTCCAAACCATGCCCACAATGAACGATAACAAATTCAGGTTGCTCTGACTCAAACTACCAATGTGTATCCGGAAATATTTGAAAGCAAATTCTAGAAAGAGGCCAGAAGTCATTTCAGCGGCACTGAAAAATGCTATAATGAAAGGAAGAATTATCATGCCATAAAAAACGTTGAGCAAAAGAGCGATAAAGGAAGACATTACGACGCCGATGCTGGGCTCGCCGGCGATGCTGAGGACATTGAGCATTTCTGTGGGCCCGAAGCGATGATTCGAGAAGGGATTCCATATCACGATGGCCGCACGTACGAAGCTACTGGCAAACACCACCAAATAAAAAGAAACGTGCAAGAAGAATGGCAAGGCACGACATTGACAAAACAAGCGCCAAAAACAAACAGATGAAATCAAACAAAAAATGCCACTTACGCAGTACAAGTAAACTTTCCACACATTGTCGAGGTTGTCACAGAACAACTCGAACAAATCGTGCAGTGCAGAGACGTTAAAAATGGCCATGCCAAACAACAGCGTGGTGTTCTGAGTATCATATACGTCACTATTGTTGCCAAGCCGTCCTGGGCTGCGTTCTCTCTCTTCGGGTAAAGCCTGAAACGTCGCTAAAGAGTCTCTAAGGATAGGATTTCCATTAGAGTATGAATCCTGGTCTGCAGCTACTGCGCTCGGCGTCGTCAGCTCATTTTCTGAAGTGATTCTGTAAGATTTCTTTGTAAAAAATTCATCGCTGTCTTCTTGTTTCAAGTTAGGAAATGGATCATTTAGTAATGGTTTGAGCAATGATTTTTTAGTAATAACTTTCAGCGTTGTGGTCTCATCAGAGGTGCTCGTGGGAGGAATGAGCAGACGGATAGTCGTGGGAAACCCGAAAAAGTTTTGATTCTCAGGTTCGTGGAATTGCGAGAGATCAGGTTCACGAAACCCAACGTTATTTTTCTCCTTGTACACTCCAAATCTCAGGTTATTCAACTCAGGCAACTGAATAACAAACTTAGAGCCGCCTTTTTCTCTGTCTGTTGGTTGCTCTTTCTCTATTTTATCAGCATTTGTCGATTCATAATCATGCACATGATTTTGAATGTTTTCGTCAGTCACTCGGGCGTCACCAGAATGGTGTGTTGGAAAATTTTGAACATGATTGAATAATGTCTTTTCTTGAATTCCCACCACATTTTCAAGAGAAAATGAAGGATTTTCATGGACCGACGTGTGTGCTTTTGAGAAAAATATGGGGTTTTCGTGGTCATCTAAGCGGCTTTCAGAATAAAATAACTTATTTTTTCGACCGTTTTGATGATTTTCGGAAGATGGATCGACAGGTGGAAGAATTGAAGCCTCGACAAGAGGTTGAGTGAATGATGCCGCAAGAGTGACTTTCTCCCCGTAAGCAACGCCTCTGAAAATGGCCGCGATGTCGCTTTCTTTAAGCGATATATTGTCTCTAGTGAGCCGAGCTGGTACACCGGGCTTTGAAATATCCTCCTCGAGCTTTGTGCTTTTTGCCCCGGTATTTTCAACGCCGCTTGTGTTGCTTGGGTAAAACAAGAGGTTTTTCCTGGAGTCCTTGTCCGAACTTCGTTTGAAGCGCACGTCTTTTTTTAGGCGCGTTCGGTTTGTGTACTTTGTTCGTATTGATGATCCTCGATCGGCATTGTTTCTGTGGTTTTTATATCGAGTTTCATTTTTCATCAATTTATGCCGGACAGGTTGAGCTTTGGCATTCTCTGCATTCGATTGCAGCTCAAAACTTTGAATAAAATCTTGCACTGATTTTTCATCTAAAATTTTTGAGTTGTTCACAATGCGCGGTTTTTTAGAATCTTTTGGTACACTGCGATTAGCATCAGTCATTTTTTCTTGAAATTCACCGAAATTTTTTCCAACAAGAATTGTACCCTTAGCCAGAAATTCATCGTTTTCGACTCCTTGTGTATTCAACAATTTCTGTGAATACGTTTTCATTCTGAGACCTTCTGCGTCATCCTTTTTCCGCGGATTTACGTTCCAGCCATGGCTTGTGTTCGTCTTATCAGAAACCGTTTTTTTCATCCACTGCAAATCAATCCGATTGAGCCCTTGTTCTTCCGACAGTCCTTTAGGGTTTCCGCCGCTCAGCTCACCGGACTCAAAATCAAAGGTTTGGTTATGCCCCGAGCCAATGGAAAGGCCAACTTTTGGCGCCGGGTAAATTGGAAGTTTTCGTCGAAAATTGAGCCTCGGACCGATCCGAAAAAGAGGAAATGTCATCTCGGCAGCTGAAAAGTTCGGGCCTGCTGAATATTTCGTATTTGTATTTTCTGTGGAGCTGTCGGAATCTGTTCCGCGGGAAGACTGACTGATGTGAATTTCTTCTGCATAGAAATTGTTAGTATTCAAGTCTTGAACTTGTGTGATTCTCCGTCGGTCTGCATCGCCGGGACCGAGGGGAGGCTTTTGAGTGCAGTTATGTGTTCGCTTCAGGGGCAAAGGAAGTGCATGGATTTGGATCAGATTTAACGTGCGAATTTGCTCGGTATTTGGCAGTTCAAAAAGTCTTGGGATAAATACCGGATTTATTTGCCTGTGAAGAAATTTGTTCGATGTTCTCATTTCTTTTAGATTGGCAAAAGAGGAAATTGGATGAGCATGTGGAAGATATGACATAGACGTTTTGTGAATAAAGAGAGGAGGCGTTGCGCGGATTAATAAAATTTCAGTGGGAAGAATTAAATTTTTCAAATATGTATTTGCAGAAATAATGGAGGCATTTGGAATGTAAGGAATGGGCGTGTAATTCATGAATTTTGCGAGTGTAGGCTTAGCAGGAGGAAAAGTAGAACCACCAAACACGATAAAATGATTGAAGATTGTTGCCACGATGAGTCTGGCGAAAACGTGAATGCCAGTCGAACGTTCGGTCGCCATGTTCGAGCTCTGGAAAATTACAGAAACAGAAGACGTTAGCTTTTTATCTTAATATAAAATTTAGAAGTTCTTGAAAAACTTCTGTATTATATTTCTAAGGTGCGAATTGTTTATATTAACTGTACAGTAATATGTAATAGCAGTTCGGGCAAAGTATTCCACAATAATTTCGAGTTGATTTAGTTGAAAAAATGTTAGAGAATTCAATTCACACCAATAACATTCAGGTGCTTTGGAGTAGCTTAGATTTGAGAAGATCTCTGAAATTTGTAAATTATTCATTTAGTATTATTGATCAACTTCGTTCCCTACGAGTAATTTTATTGAATTTCGCATTGTCCTAATAGAATTCTTTATCTGGAGAGCTCTGATTTTATTCACAGTCACTCTGAATCATATTTCCCTTTTGTTCAGTAAATTTTATTTTATTCATTTCGCATGTAAGAAAATAAATTCAAAACTCCTGAAGTCCAAAATTAATTTTATGAAATTGACAGGAAATATTAGCTGGAAAACTTAAGCAAGCAGATAATCTCCGACATTTGAATCATGAATTACCTCATTACCAATTGTACCAATTATCAATTGTACCTCATTAATATCATGGAATATACAATTATACTTAATGATTTAATTGTGCTTATATATTGCGATTTATCGAGTTATGAGTGTGCAGTGGTCGATAATTTAACTGTTATTAGCGAACACATTAACAAATGTATGCTACATACAGTATAATTAAATTCGGCATTGGTGGAATTAATTTAATAAAAACTTTCCCCAAAAGTCACTTGAATTGATCGGTGCTAACCAACAGTACGCCTCGAGAAAATGATCTTTCTATTCATTTCATAATCACAAAGTAGAAATATAAACACAACTTATATTATTTTAGCAATAAACTCACGGGAAACGTCTACGAATTTAGAAATAAATGAAATTCATTTATGCAGCATCTGAATAGATTAGGAAAAACAAGAATTATTTCTCGAATTAAAGGCAAAGAGATAATCTGTGTCCAAGATCAAATCAAGTTCTAACTTCACACAAACAAGGTTCCGAGTCAAAATCCCTTGCGTTTATTTCAGACTCCAAAGGCCGATTGTATTCATTTCATCGCGACAGCACGTAATTTCAAATTTAATCTATCAATTTTGAACAATATCATAATATCCCGTATTACGTAACATTGATTATAATAACAAAAGAAACCATAATAATCTGAGATTTTCACCCCGAAATAAGCCAAGCCTTCGTCTTTTACTTTCATATCACAAAGGATATCAGGATATTAATTTTAACTGCAATAAGGTCCTGTTGCCCTCAGTCTATCACATCGTATCTCCTTGATGGCAGGATTTCATTGTGGAGGGTGAGGGGAAATTTTAAAGTGGCGCTGGCAAGCAACGAACCGGAATCAATATGGCGACCATGGGTGCACCTCCATTGCTTCCATGAGCTCCAAATAACACTTACAAAAAGAAATATTAATACCTGATAACTGGGAGATGCTGGGATAAGGTCACAGGGTCCAATGTCGAGGATATTTATTGGATTTTTTAGGGATCACTGGAGTAAGCAAAGGGTGGAACACTGCCTCCTCCGACGGCGGCAAGGGGCGACTGAAGAGTGCGACTGCGGGAGCAGCTTCCCGAGTCTGCAATCTGCACCAGACTCTGCGTCTGCAAACTGCGTCAGGCTCTGCGTCTGCAAACTGCGTCAGGCCCTGCGTCTGCAAACTGCGTCAGGCTCTGCGTCTGCAAACTGCGTCAGGATCTGCGTCTGCAAACTGCGTCAGGTTCTGCGTCTGCAAACTGCGTCAGGCTCTGCGTCTGCAAACTGCGTCAGGCTCTGCGTCTGCAAACTGCGTCAGGTTCTGCGTCTGCAAACTGCGTCAGGATCTGCGTNATCACGTGGATTTAGTTTTTGCACCACTGCCAGTTTGTAAGGGTGGAATTTTAAGTCTTGGTGCAGAATTCGCCTAACTGTGCGATCGGAAATTCTAAGCGCAGATGCATGTTTTCGTGCGGATCGCTTAGGTGATTGCAAAACCGCCTGCCTTACTCTCTCGACATTTTCTGGCGTCCTAGTGGTTTTGGAAGGACCTGGTTTTTGTTTCCACACACTGCCTGTATTCATAAAAGTATTCACCCACTGAACGATTGATGTACGACCAGGAACACGACCAGTGGGCGCGACATTAAACTGCCTCCTAAACGCACGCTGGGTTGCAACGATAGACCGGCCACTAGAAAAGTACACAGAGACTGCGAACGCGCGCTCCTCTCTCGACCACTGCATGGTCGCAACTGAACTGAGTGGACGAAAAACTTCATAGCCCGCGCACCATATTGCGCATGGCGCCACCTTCCTAGGACTAATGGCCGCCACGTGGCGCGCAATTCAAATAAGTAAGTTCCCGCGCCGCACCCTGTACTTTTCATAATCATGCCACGGGTTTTACCGAAAATTGTTCATAATTTCAGTGAATCAGTCATTATGTAGCTGGACAAATACGCTCCTTGAACGTTATTTCTTGGTCTCTGCCCGAGGGCGCAAACATAAAAGGATTACTCGAAAAATATCAGTGAATTTTTAAAGGCCACAAGGCATATTTTAACATGGTAAAGATTTCTTAGACACACACAGAACTATAAACTAAATCTGCATAGATTAACGAGAGCTCAATAATATGTCTGGCTAGGAAAATTTGCAGACATTACAGATAGAGGTCAGCCAGGCAAAATTCGGTTTTCTATTCGCTATCAGCTGCTTGCCGAGAACACTTGCTACGCATACTTTTTCTCTTCAGTCTTTGTTGGAGAGGTGCGGCGGCTGAAGAAAACTCACAGCGTTTAAAGTGCGGCGAAGGTTGATCCGCTACAATGACTACATCCAAACTCACTCCAAGTACATGAACATGACTGTAATGTTTTCTACCATGACCGAGGTGAGTAAGATTTACCGAATATATCGCAAGTGTTTATATCGGCCATTCTTCACCTTATGCAGATTATGTTGAGACACCGTTGATTACGAGTTGATGTCGTTGAATGGCACTTGTTTTTCATTCGATTCCTGATGGGCCGTTATAAGCCTGTGTTTTAGTTTTAGAATTCACTGCTCCATAGGTAATTGAATATTCGCTGTAAACCCCGTAGACCTTTTAAGGTTGACCGTTCACAAGACTATGTGAATAGGGTGAAAAAAACATACTCGCCGCCAGTGAGCGCATTGCGACTTGCTGCAATAAGTCTTCATCTAAAATTCATGATGTAAAAGTCCCAACACGATTGCTTAAAGATAAAAATCGGTATATTTTGTGGTCAATCAAAGCACAATGAGTTTACACATAGAAAAAAATTTTAAAATCTTCACTCAAAGTGCATTCAATTTATAACAAGGTTTGTTAGATTGTTAGATTCAACTAATTGATTCAACATTGTTGTATGAATGTTCTTCACATGTATATATAAATATGTCTCAACTCCCACTGATCCCATCGATATTCAGGGTGAAAGTTATCGCTCAAAATCGAATGATCCAAAATATTCATTCATAGGACAAACTGAACAGAACAAACGAAACAGAACAAAATAAACTGTGTCAAATGCTGTCAGTTTGCTTCGGAATCTCAGCCAATTCCGACGAAATGAAATAGTAGCGTTGTTAACAAAAGGAAGAGGTATCGTTATAGAAAAATTGAAGAGGTATCGTTATAAACAAAATGAAGTGGTAGCGTTATAAACGAAGTGGAGTGGTAGCGTTCTAAACAAAATTAAGTGATGGCATTATAAACAAAACGAAGTGGTAGCGTTCTAAACAAAATTAAGTGATGGCGTTATAAACAAAACGAAGTGGTAGTGTTCTAAACAAAATTATGTGATGGCGTTATAAACAAAACGAACTGGTAGCGTTCTAAACAAAATTAAGTGATGGCGTTATAAACAAAACGAAATGGTGGCGTTCTAAACAAAATTAAGTGATGGCGTTATAAACAAAACGAACTGGGAGCGTTCTAAAAAAATTAAGTTATGGCGTTATAAACAAAACTTAGTGGTAGCGCTCCAAACAAAATTAAGTGATGGCGTTATAAACAAAATTAAGTGATGGCGTTATAGAAAAAAACCAAGGGCTAGCGTTATAAAAAATTGAAGTGGTAGCGTAAAAATCTCCTTTTCTGTGAAGCATCTAATAAATATAATGGTCCTATTGAAAAATATATGCAAATAGATTTATCATACGAAATATATTTTGAAATTTATGTTAAAGGTGTTATTCAAGGGAATATTCGCCGCCCTTCAGAGTTTATGAAGAGAACACCAGAGTATCAAGGAAACACAAATATTCAGCATCAAAAATTCTCGAAAGGAGAATTCCAGATATTTTCTAGCAAGGAATTTTTTCTCCTAGGAAGGAGAATTCTAGAAAGAAAATTCTAGAATTTTTATCCAAAGAATTCTAATTATTATTTTAATCCAATTATTATTCAATAAACTCTATAATGTTTCTCGCATACAGTTTTTTTCTAGACTACTTAAAACGAACTAAACATTTCAAAATGATTTCCAATAATCCAAAAACAGGAAAATCAACCAAAATACAGATTTAGGCGATCAACGATAATTTATCCCAAACTGTCTCTTGCTTGGAGGTTCATCAATTCTTCATCTCCAGGCCATCAACTATTGATTCAACGGCCCATCAACTATTGATGCTACGGCCCATCAATTATTGATGCTACGGCCCATCAACGATTGGTGCTAC